AACCTAGTGACCGAGGATGTGGAAAAAGCTAATGTAGTGCCCATCTTTAAAAAAGGGAAGGAGGAGGATCCGGGGAACTACAGGCCAGTCAGCCTCACCTCAGTCCCTGGAAAAATCATGGAGCAGGTCCTCAAGGAATCAATTATGAAACACTTAGAGGAGAGGAAAGTGATCAGAAACAGTCAGCATGGATTCACCAAGGGGAAGTCATGCCTGACTAACCTAATTGCCTTCTATGATGAGATAACCGGCTCTGTGGATGAGGGGAAAGCAGTGGATGTGTTATTCCTTGACTTTAGCAAAGCTTTTGATATCATCTCCCACAGTATTCTTGCCGCCAAGTTAAAGTAGTATGGGCTGGATGAATGGACTGTAAGGTGGATAGAAAGCAAAATGCATGCCCCCCGCCTTCTTGCATGGGACACTGTACCTCCTGGATACACAGTGCCCCCACTGGGGCAACAAATAAATATATGGAGATATGCCTATCTCATAGAACTGGAAGGGACCTTGAAAGGTCATCGAGTCCAGCCCCCTGCCTTCACTAGTAGGACCAAATACTGATTTTGCCCTAGATCCCTAAGTGGCCCCCTCAAGGATTGAGCTCATAACTCTGGGTTTAGTAGGCTAATGCTCAAACCACTGAGCTATCCCTCCCTCCTCAAATAAATACCATGCAATTGTAGGACCCTTTGCCTTCAGGCCAGTGAATCATGTTACTGCATAACTGTCCATTGCAGCAGTTTCACATCTTCCTCTGAACCATTTGGTACTGGCTACTGGTGGAGAGAAGATACAGCTCTTGATGGAAAAGTGGTGTCAGCTGGTATTGCAATTCTTCTTTCAGAGTAGCAGCCGTGTTAGTCTGTATCCGCAAAAAGAACAGGAGTACTTGTGGCACCTCTAAGGTGCCACAAGTACTCCTGTTCTTTTTGCAATTCTTCTGTTGTCCTGCAGAGGACCTTGCTGGGAGTTCATTATTATGAATTACTTGTATTGCAATAGTGCTTAGAGATCCCAACTCCTCTGTGCAAATAGAGAACTAAAGTGGTCCCCGCCCTGAAGCGCTTACACTCTCTGAGACAACAGGTGGGTACAACAGACAGATGGCGGGGGGACTTACAAGGCAATATATGTTTGATTGTGACCTATGCGATGAACAGCGGTCACAACACTCAACTTCAATAGGATTTCTGCATGCAAAAGACTTGCAGAATCAAGCTCTTAATATCTCCAGCAGTCAAATCACCAACAGCATGGGTGAGACAATAGAAGTTATACATTCTTAGTCCCTGCTGAGCTGTTTGGATTTTCCTTTCCCTTTTTAATATAATATCTTGCAAGTTTGTGTGGGGAGTTTTTGCCCATCCATTTACTGTAAATGCTGTAGGGACCCATGACAGAATGCAGCTTGGGCTTATGCCACGATAGGTAAGGAAGTAGAGAATTTTTTATTAGTCCATACTTAAGTCCAATTGGATTTAAATTACATGCTGCTGAGAGGTTTCTACAAGAGACCTGTAGCAGCAGCAGCAGCACCAGCAGAGCAGAATTTCAAGATGACAAATTCTGTCTTCCTGGGTTAGATCCTTCTCTCACCTAACAATGATTTTATTCCATTAACTGCAGTGAAGTTACTCCTGATCTATACTGGTGTAAGCGAGAGGAGAGTCACGCCCTTTCTTTCCTTGACTGGGAAACAGGTGCACAACACTAAGCTGTAAAAACAATCTGGGAACATGCTAGCCAAGCACCTTTTCTTCAAAGTGGGATTCTATGAATAACAGTCTTCATGGCTATGAACAAAGCAAAGCACTACACATTCTATGAAGAGCCAAACCCATCTCTGCAATACACCTTCTTGTACCATTGCCCTTTTAAAAGCAGTTGTTCTATAGCAAAGTCCAGTGTTGATTTCATATCAATTCATATGAACTTTGAAATGAAGCACTATCTGGAAAAAAATGAGTTTCTCCGCATTGGAACACCATTGTTCTTGCAAATCAATGGTATGGATTTTGCACTGTGACATTTAAATGCAATAGTTTTGAGATGTGACTGCTGACTGCTAAAGGAAGGTGTGGGATAGAGGCAATGTTTGGGACATTCCTGCTTAAATGACTGCATACAGACTGTGAGCTATTTGTGTCAGACACTTTCTTTTTTCTCATTTGTTTGTACAGTGCTGAGAACAGCAAGGTGCCAATCTTGATCAGGTGCTACTTAATACAGATAATAATAGTACGCAAGGGGGATCCCCCCGCTCTGATTTCCAGGAATGAGGAGTTGGACTGCAGACTTGGAGCCAGAAGTCTTAACAGAGATGTGTCCAATGAATAGGCTTTAGAATGATTGCCAGTGGAAGTTCTCAAGCCAGACTAGCAATTCATTCGTGTCTAAGTGAAGACCTTTTCCATTCTTCAGCAACCTGGGGAGATATGATTTGAATATAAATATATGTACATAGGACAACTCACTTCAGCTAGGAGGGTGTTTCTCAGCAAGGCTCTGCTTCTATCCAGCTTATAGACTACTTGATGTAGATGGAAGGAAGTGACCTTCTCAGAGTCATATACTGCTCATAGATATGCATGATGGACTCTCAGTAATATCAATAGGAGTGTCACATGGGCATCCAAAGGCAGAATGTGACTCAGCAAGTGACTCAATTGGGAAGGGACCTGGTTGACCTCCAGGTTCTCCCATTGCCAGTGTGGTCACATCCGCTCCATGAAGTCTTTTTCACATGGAAAGTGGCTAAACCACTAGTGGCACTGGCAACACATATGCCGACAAGCGGATCTTGTTGGAACTCCAGCGTCACCGAAGGCTAAGGGTGGTAACTGATTTTGCACCTGTGTATCCCTGATGATTTCCCCTCCAGCCCTTTATTTCTAAACAGTGCAATGGCAGAAATGAAAATTATGCTCTGCTGCTTCTTTCTTGCCTTTTCAGGTTGTTTTGAAGGAGTCATAAGGAGCTTTGGGAGTTCATATACAAAAAGAAAAGCATCTGGAATTGTGTGACACATGAGAAGTCAAATGTCATATAGTACTTGCACAATTCAAGTTATACACTTCTTATATGTCTTAACAATTCATTTATAGGGAGCACCTTTCAGCTGAGGATCCCAAATAACTTTACAAACATTAGTTAAACCTGACCACACCCCTGCAAGGAAGGTAAGCGTTATTACACCTATATTACAGATAGGTAAACTGAGGCACAAAGTTAAAGCTGTGATCCCGCAAACATGCTTGCTTGCAGAATCACAGGTAAGGAGCCTGCTTACCTTTACTATTTTGAGTCAGACTTACTGCTATTTAATAAAGGTAAGCATGTTCCTATAGGTTTGCAGGATCAGGGTCTAAATGACTTGCCCAAGATCACACAGCAAGTTATGATAGGCTGTTGGCATGCTGGCACTGCTATTAAATATACCAAACATGATTGCTTCCTTGGACCTTGTCCTCTCACCTACCCTTTATAATCTGCTGCATCCGTGAGTTGTCTCTTGTCACATGCAAAGATCGTAAGATCTTTGAGACAAGGACTATCTTTTTTTACGTGTGCATAATGCCTAACACAATGGGGCTGCCGTAATAGTAATAATTATTAATAATAAAATTAGCAGCACAGCTGGGAATGAAAATCCATAAATCTCCTATTCCAGTCACTAGACTGTGGTCCCTCTGCCTTTGATGTTTCTTATCATGGGCAGTAGGAAAAAGTTGGAATATAAAATAAAACTTTGCTTCAAACTTTTCATGAACTGCAGTTGCATTGGAATTTCCTGTCAGGTATTACTAGTGCTAGGAGCAAATACAGAATCTCAAACTTTCATCTGGGAGGGGTTTAGGAGCCAAAGATGCACATTCAGCTCTCAGTTAAATCTCAACATTTGCAGTCCAAGCAAATTTTGCAGTTGGGAAAGCCAAGTGCTCTAAAGAGCTTTAAATGGGAATGTGGGACTAAAAGAGACTGTTGAGAGAGGAGACAGGTAAAAGGGAAATGGAAGAAAAATACATTAGTAACACTTCAGAATGTCCACAGAGGGTATGAATAAGCTGCAAGAAGAGAAGAAGTTTTGCACATAATTCCCGATTGAAAGGTAAGTACTAGCACAGGCTAATATTCAGGAATATGAATATAGCACAGTGAAAAGGAACTTAGAATGTAACTGACTGCATTTCAATGTTATGTCCTGTATTGTATTTAGTGGGAAAATATTAGTTACTTATTATCCCTTTGATAAAATATGGACTGTGGTCCTCTTCAGGAGATATGAAGAACTAACTGAGTTGCAAGTAGAAGACAGATCTCTCAATTGTTCTCCAGATCTTAGCTTTCAATTTTTCAAAAAAGGAAATCTTTTCTTGTTATGATAGCAAGAGAGTCTTGAAAATATGATCCCCCCTGAGGAAAACCGATGCAGTGATGTCTGTCTGAATTTGCAGAGAGCTTGAAACAATAGCTCTGATATGTGAATTGCCCCATTCATTTCAATGGGTACTAATGCAGATACCCATGATGCTACTTCAAACGTCAACATCAAATGTTAACTATTTCATTGCTCAGCCAAGCATGGAAGAATGGAGAGGAAGTATCATATTACGAAGCTCTCCACAATATACTCCAAGTGACTAGGGTGGGGCAGGAAAGAAGTTTTCCCATCCCACAAGAATTTTCACAATTTCAAAAGTGTTTCTGTTCCACATCAGGACAAAACTAAGACCTGACATTTTTCACAAATGCCTACATGCCTTTAAGGATCAGGGCCTTAGTCTCTCTGTTCCTCAGATCCCCAATCTGAAAAAAAAAGGGGATATGAGCACTGCCCTACCTCTCAGAGGATAAATATAATAAAGATTGTGAAGTGTTCACATGCTATGGTGATAAGGGCCATATAAGTACCTAAAATTGATCAAAATTTGAAACCAAATTATGCCACGCTTACATACATTGACATAGGACTGGTTCTCTATTGTCCTTCACCTTGCACAGCCATTTACACTAATGCAAAGTGCATGTAACACTACAGTACATTCAGGTTCACTAGCGTTCTGCACTCTTGTTGCACTGCTGTAAATGACAGCACAAGGTGCAAGGCAATGGTGAATCAGGCGCATCTGGATAGCATTCTGCTGGGAGTCATACTGCAGTCAACGGGTCTACTCATGCATGTAGCTGCTTGCCAGTGTGAGTAAAGGGTTCACAATCTGGCGCTGGCCCTGCAAACTTGCACATGAATAGTGCTGTGGGACTTTTCACATGAGTAAAGTTACTCAGTGTGTAAGTATTGGTAGGGTCAGGCCCAAGGAATATATTATATAATGAATTTTCTACACCATTTGTAGAAATACTTTCAGCAAATTCATGGTAGATGTATCTGCAAACTTGTGATTTTTTTGGGCCCCAGTGACTTCAGCACATTTCCGCAGTGGCCACACAGTGTGCCATTGATGTTGATGTGCCTAGGGGATGAGATTGCAGGATACAGGCTAGAATAATACTTCCCCCAGCAGGACCAGTGTGTTTGATCTAGAGCAGAGCACAGGGATTGGAGCTGTGATCTGAATGCCTGGAAAAGCTGAGTGAGATGTGGAAATGAAGAACTGCTGAATGTTTGCATTAGTTTGGTCCCTTATCCATGATTTTATGCTGGAGGGGAACTATTGGGGCCTCAGACCCAGTCTTCTGTGGAATTAAATGTGTTAGTCACACGTTATGTTAAGATTCCATTTATAAATAGGTTATAGGGGGTGAATAAATGGTTAACAGATGTTTTAATAAATGGTTAATTAAGGTTGTATTCATAAATAATTTGCAAAGTTACTAAAAGGTTAATAAATTGTTTCATTAATGATTAATCAATCACTATAGCATGTGAGAGTTCAACAGGTCAATAGGTTGTTTCTTCTACTTAAGCACTTGTCACTATCTATGACACATGCCGCTCATGTCTGTAATTGGCTTATAACACCCCATAATACTAACCCTTGAAAAATGGAACCTTAGTGTAAAGTGTGACTGATGAATTGCTGAACAGTTTGCCTTTGAGAGAATATATATTTTGTGTACCACGCCCAAACGCATACAGTGACCTTTAAGTTAAAACCATGTACATTTTCCTGTGTATAAAGGTTTCTCATTTCAAGAAGCCCTTTTGTATCAGATTATACTCATTTTCCAGAAAGCGCTTGTGCACTTGTTAGCCTTCCTCTTAACTGTCCATTATCAACAATACAAAAACCTGCTGCATAATGAAAATGTGGTAACGCTGTAACATAGCGAGAATTTACTATCAAAATAAATGACATAGTGGCGACTGCTCTGATTGCATTATGCAGTGCCATATTTAATTCATTTAAAAGCTTCATTTTTGATATTTAAATGAAACAGGCACAAAAACCTCTCTCTTTAAGAGATTTATATGGCCCCTGTTACCATAGTATCAATGAGATAGGGACATGCTATTGCCTCTCTTTCACAGATGGGAATTTAGGCCCAGATCCTGATTGATTCAATGGAAAGTAAGGTGCCTATATAGCTTTGAGTATCTGGGCCTAAGTGACTTGCCCAAGGTCATACAGGGAGTCTGTGGCAGAGGAAAAAAATCAACCCAAGTCTCCTGACTCCAAGGCTAGTGTCCTAACCACTGAACCATCCTGTCTCTCTGGACGGTTGCTCCAGCCTGTTTGATGCCTGTGAAATGGGTAGAGTCCCCTAAGGGGGCTCCACCCAGAAAAATAACAAAAATGACCTAAACAAGTGGAAGGGGCCACACTAACAGAAAGGGGCACTGAAAAGCTCAACACTGACTGGGAAGCCTGCTGTTCCAGAGTGCTGCAGAAGCCAAGGTCTTTGTTGGAGCATTTAGGTGCAATGATTTACACTGCATTGATTTATCCCAATTGAGGATCCGGGCCTCTGTGCAGCTGGCTTTCTCCTTGTAATGTCGCACTGAATGAAGAAATACATGAAAAATCTAAGCGCGGACAGTCTGAAGCAAAGGGTCCGATATGCTAGTAAGGAAGCCAAGTCACATAACAAGGTAGGCAGGATTAAGTAAGCGCATAAGCTTGAAGAGCAGAGAGACCTTTGGGGAAATCCTGTAGACATGCAGCAAAGCACGTGTCCTCATTTCAGTTTTCCTATTTGGTTTCCTGCAGAGCTCTCAAACATCTTAGCATCAGTCACTACCTGGAATTTTGTTTTGGTTTTGTATTTGCAAACTCAAGGCAGCTTTTTTACATCAGAATTATATGCTGCTGTTGCTGCATATGCCTTTAAATATCCAGCTGGTAATTATTTGCAGCAGACAAGCAAATAAAAGGGTGTTTTTCTTTTTCTTTTGCTTGTTGGTGCTAATGATAAGGAATGCCGATGCTTCTGCCTCCTGGCTTTTATAGGGAACACGCTCCTGTTCTTCAGAGCACTGCAGTACTGGTTTTAGCTGTGGTCTTTGGGACTGTCACTGGAGGAGAGTGCACTTCTATTTGATAAAAGATTCCACTCTCCTCCCAAAGGCTTTAATGGGGGTCTGCTCCAAACAGTGGCGGATTAGCCACTGGGCCAATGGGGCCCATGCCCGGGGCCCTGGCCAATTGGGGAGCCCCAGAAAAATGGGCTCCCCTATGCCCTGACCCCATTTCCCAGGCAGGAGAGCAGGTGAGGGCATGGGAGGGATTGCAGGCAGAAGGGGCCCCCACTTGCTCTGGCCCAGGGCCCCACAAAACCGTAATCCTCCTCTGGTTCCAAAGCCCACTGAAGTCTATGGAAAGACTCCTACTGAGCTTTAGATCAGGCCCTTGATATACTCAGCAGATTTGTGACCCTTTGCCAGGTGGTATTGGCAGCAAAAAGGGCTGGGTCCAATTTTCTAGGGATTCTTTCTCGTGACTAATTGCCACCACCTGAAACCCCAACCCAGAAACTTGCGAAACTACATACACAATCCTGGGAGCTCTTGATGGGCAATATTTCCCCACGTGCAAGCACTGAAACCAAAGGTTAAAAAAAGAACTTTATCAGGGGAGGGGGAAGAGAAGGAGCAACAGAAATTATTTGGGAAAACTGGCAACAAACTAACACGTTCTACGAAATAAGACTCCCAGCTCCCTCAGGGTGCCTAAAAGTAGCCCCAACCTCAGTCCTCCTTTGGGAGTTCATAGAATTATAGAATATCAGGGTTGGAAGGGACCTCAGGAGGTCATCTAGTCCAACCCCCTGCTCAAAGCAGGACCAATCCCCAACTAAATCATCCCAGCCAGGGCTTTGTCAAGCCTGACCTTAAAAACCTCTAAGGAAGGAGATTCCACCACCTCCCTAGGTAACCCATTCCAGTGCTTCACCACTCTCCTAGTGAAATAGTGTTTCCTAATATCCAACCTAGACCTCCCCCACTGCAACTTGAGACCATTGCTTCTTGTTCTGTCATCTGCCACCACTGAGAACAGCCTAGCTTCATCCTCTTTGGAACCCCCTTCAGGTAGTTGAAAGCAGCTATCAAATCCCCCCTCGCTCTTCTCTTCTGCAGACTAAACAATCCCAGTTCCCTCAGCCTCTCATCATAAGTCATGTGCTCCAGCCCCCTAATCATTTTTGTTGCCCTCTGCTGGACTTTCCAATTTTTCCACATCCTTACGAGCGATCTAGCCGCTTCGCTACTCCCTAGCTTCTCACTCACGATACGTTTTCCTGGGTTGGAGGAGTTCAAGAATTCTAGCAGAGTGACAACGATGATCTCCCTTCTCTGTCAGGCTTCAGGCCACAGGGCTTATACCTGGGTAATTTGGGGGCTGATTCTTCTCTTGTTTGCAGCAGTTGTATGCCCATGTGACTCCAATTGTCTTCCATGGTGTTATTCCAGACTGAGGGCTTGGTTGTGCCTGTGTTGGGGGTAGTGCCATTCTTTGCAGAGCTCCTTGGTGCTGAGGGGCATTAAACCTTCTGCTACAGCCCTCCATGGGTGCAACTTAATGGCAGGCCTGCTCTAGGCAGGGAAAGAAGAGAGGATGGGATCAGTGCTTGAGGGGCATGGGTATAGTTCCATCTCCTCCTAACCCCCATTTAAAGCCTGATCCAAAGCCCGTTAAAGCCAATGGGAGTCTTTCCATTAACTTCAATGGGCTTTGGGTCAGGGCCTGATTGCGCTGTGAGGCATAAGGGGATTGTGCAGGGGGAGCATTCCCGGTACCTGTGCCTGGTTCTTGTGTAACCCATACACCTTCTGGGTGTGGTGCTCTGTCCCATCTAGTGGCACGCAGACCACTTAGAGAGATAAAATGAGTCTGCAGCTGTAGCTAACAGCCAGTTGGCTTTTAGCTCATGCTGTAGAGGCTCATACACTAAGCTCCAGTGGTCCCAGGTTCAATCCCATCTGCTGACGACCAGATCGGGCTACGCAAGGGGCTGAAAGCCCTTTTCTGCATCCGTTAGGGCCTGAGCCTGCACCACTGAACTCAATGAAAGATTGCTGTTGAATTCAAAAGGATCCGGAGCAGTTCGTAAGTGAGAGACAAACAATGCTCTGTGTGTCTGCCCAATGAGAGCTCACACTTGGACTGGCTCATTCAAAGCCCCGATCCTGGTGTTACAGTGAATTCCATACCTGCAACGGTGCGTGCGCCTTAAGACAACAGCAGCGGTAAATTAACTGTTTTTGCTTCGGACCCCAGCTTGGTCACAGCCTGGCCAGTCCTCCTGGAGCAGAAGTGCCACAGTACTGCTGCCTCAGTGACAAGCACCGAGCGGGCTCAAACCTGGAGGATTTCTCCGGGGTGTTCCAGACACACAACCGCCTCCCAGAATACAATGTGAAATCATGGCCAAAGCAAACTACTGGAGTTCAAAATACGTGCCCGAGAACAGCAACAGACTGACCAACCTTTGAAGGTCTGGAGAGCTAATTAATATCATTCGATACACAACAGTTGCTGCTGCTGCTGGTATGGCCCACTAGAATGTGGATGTGTGTTTGTCTGTACAACAGAAGCACAAAGAGCATGTTACTTATACACTTGCTCTTTTGCTCACCAGTTAGCAGCCCTGTGTGGGAACAGCAGAGGGAATGCAAAACCTTTTATTTTATTTCCCTTCCTTGGGGATTTCAAAATGATTAAAAATCCTCTGCTTGGCATCATTAGCTTGCTTATATATCTGTCCCTGCTAGAGAAAACTACACAGGGGGAAAAACAGCATTTGACTGTTCTGTCAGTACAATAACATTTAATGCCTCTGCTATTTGGCCCAACATTATATCACCCTCTGTTGTGTTTCCCAGCATGCCCTGGCATTCCTTCAAACAAGTATTCATTCTATCAGAAAGTCCAAGAAAAGACTTTACTCCCTTGAGGATCAAGAATAAAGCAACTGCTAAGAAAGGTACAGGAGCTATTAATATTAATGTTATAGGCAGAAAGGGAGGGGGGAGAGGACATAGGAGCAGTGAAAGAATGAATACTTATGGCTTTGATGTGTTCATTTCCACAGGACCGGTAGCAGCATGGAGAATACAGAATCATATAAAGAGGAAAATGAGGAGGTGGAGGTGAGCTATAGGCAGCTAAGAAAATTGCACAAGCTGTGGGGAATTTTTCTGTCTAGACACACATACACAGAAAGGCAGCCACTGTGCCATCTGCAATTTAGCTGATTTTTTTTTTTTTTAAGGACAGAGCGGAGACAAAAAAGGAACCCACCCATGTGCTTCTGGTTTTGGCATTCATATGAATGAGGCATATCCAGTGCTTGCTGCGTGTGGGAAAGAAAGCCACTGAATGTAGTTGTTGTACCTACGAAGGAACAACAGCGAGAGAGCCCCCAAATCCTTGTCGTACATGTCGTTTTCTGCTCCAATGGCAGAGTAAAAAGGGAAGGGATGCAATTATTTTAGTCCTAATGAGGCTGCTGAGGAGTAAAAATGGAAATAATTAAAGCCCTTGTGTCTCCGATTCTTTGGGCCAGATTCTTCTTTTAGTGACACCACTGCACTCCCACTGCTCTGATGTCTCGGAGACGGCTCAGAGGCCCTCCAATACACGTACACCGTCCGCTTCAGTGAAACTTTCACAGATGCGACTGAGGACAGGAACTGCACCTCCTCCCAGCCACCTTTATCCTTGAGGTAGCTCTACTGTCCTCAGTGGAGCTACGCAAAGGAGAAATCTTAACCTTTCTGCTCTCTAGTTACCCTAGATTTCACCAGTGTAACAACAGGCCTGATCCAAAATCCAATGAACTCAACAAGATTCTTCCCAGCGCCCTCAGTGAGCCTCAATGCAGGCTTTAAGTGTCTAGTCTTACCATGTGTCTACTCCCTTGCATGGCTTCAGTCAGTCCAAGCTGGCTTTCCTAACACAAACGTGCTGGATTCCATTCTGCTTGATGCATCAATGAAAACATCTGTTCAGCTCTGATATAAGAACTGTTATTTTACTAAAGATGCTGCAAAAAAGTCCATAAAGAACTTTTTTTAAAAAGGGGCTAGCAGATTCAAGAGATCCGCATTGAGTATTGCTGGAATGCACCTCACATTGCTCTACTAGAGTCACCAGTTCAGAGACTCGTGGGCACAAAGGTGACAAGCCAGGTGCCAATGTCAATGGAAGACCATTAACCTGAAAAGGGTTACAGAAGATCTATGCGGCAGGAAGTTAGAACAAAAGAAATACTCCAAGAAAGCTATGCCCACTGCAGTTGGGAGAGAGTGTTAGGTCCCAAACTGGCAACCTGCTGAGGAAACTGCTGGAACATCTGTCTGAACGTCATACATTATAATCCCCCCTGGAGGGCCAGACCTACAGGAGGAACAGAAGACATTTAGACAAAACTAAGGCGAAACACTGGTTCTGGTTTTTGAGGACATTCGGAATGTCAATGCCAGCATTCATGCTCTGATAGGAGTAGCACATACCCCCCTGCTCACAGACAAAAAACACCTGGAGCAGCAAACATAGGCCTAAGGGGCAGAGCCATTATAGCAGCTGAACAGGCCGTTGCAGAAGGACCTGTTTCAAGAACAAGAGGTGGGCATATGATCGGAAAGCCCTTGAGATTCGGGAGTAGTAGTTAATGATGTATGTCAATCAGAGGCAGGGTAATTTTCTCATATGTCCAGGGCTTAGGCCATGCGTTTTGACCTCCACCTAGATGTCCGTTTGTAGAGGTTATTAATTGGCTGTGTCAATTTGTCATTGGGTCGGGTTGATATTAAGTTTTATGTGCATTTGATTTAAAGAAACAGAGGAGGCAGGAGGTAAAACAATAGCCTGTGGAGACAGTGAGAATACTGACCCCTGTCTGTGATACAAATATGACTTTTAGGAAAGTGGATTCAGATCGTGTGGCTGTCTTGGGCTCAAAGTATGTCTACGCTGCGGGGGGAAAAAAAAGGTGTGTTCTTACCTCTGTTCTTAGCTAACTCATGTTACGCTAAATCAGGTTAAAATAGCAGTGAAGACACTGCAACTCGACTTTTCACTCTGGTGAGCAGCTCGAATTACAGCCTATCGGGGAAATCTGGGGTTGATCTTGAATTGTTGTGGTGTGATGCTGCTTGTAATTATTAGAACTGGGAGCACTGGCTGTTGGGAGTCTGAAAGGACAGGAAACAGGAAGGAAGGGGGAGGAGTTGAGGAGGCTGGGAGAGTTACAGAGTGCGCAGCTACAGCTTGGAGAAGAGACTTGCACTGTAAATAAAGTTCTGTTGAAGTTGTTAATACTTTGCCTGGTGGATACAACATTTTGGCGACGAGGATGGATCTTCTGCCTCTGAACCCACCTGCACCCTTTCTGCAAAGCCCAGGTGAGCCTCCAATTGCTTTTACTGCCTGGATCCGTATGTTTGAGACTAATCTGCTTGCAATCAGTGCTACAGAGATTTCTGAAGTAAGAAAGTGTGCTTTGCTAATCCACTGCCTTGGAGCAGAAGGGCAGTGTATATTTTACACTTTTCCCCTTGCAGATGATAAATATGAGACTGCACTCACTGCATTAAAGAACTTTTTTGTGCCAAAAGTGAATGTAGTAGCTAATCGCTACAGATTTCGCCAGCATGAGGAAAGACTATAATGCAGTATATTGCTTCCCTGAGGAACCTGATTGTAACTTGTGACTTTGGGAATATGGCAGATGAGATGATTAGAGACCAGCTCATTGAGAAAACAACAATGCTTCATGTAAGAGAACGCTTACTTCTAGAGCCACAACTTACACTAGAAAAAG